TTGCTTGCCAAAGGACAATGTGAAAGGGATCTAAGCATTGTATGTCACATTCTGTTTACCTCTTAAGGAACAATCTACTTAACATGAAATGAAAAGAATTGCAGGCCGTTTCTGCTTCTTTCGATGCTGTTACAGTGTTAGGAAAAGTAATTCTCCTCTTCAGAGACAGATAAAGTTTACCCTCTCTCTGTCATCCAATGTGCTAGTCCTGACTCAAGAAATATTTCTAGATGTTTTGCAGTTTCTTTATTTTGCACAGTTTCTCAATTTTTTTCTATAGTTTCATTTTAGAATAGCTGAAACCCAGTTTCTTTGTTGGTAATAAGCTCTTGGAAGAGACAAAAACAATGTTCTCTTTGTTGTCTAGCTACGATAAAGGAGATGAACAATTTTTTTCCTCCAGACAGGTTAAATTATAACTGCACTGAAGTCATAAATTCCATTTTATCTGGGGGAAGACTCTGCTTTCAAAGGATTACAATTTCTACAATATTACTAAAAAAACATACTGAGAGATAACAGTATCTGATCTGGGGCACAGGTGATCATTCCCCGTCAGAAGGAGTCCTTTGAACACAAGGCCACAGTTTGACTCAGACTTATTACTTCCTGAACAGGCACTTCAGAGGCTGAGGAAGGTGAATATGGATGGATGGCCTTTCTGTTAGAGCATCTATCATATCATCATAGAAGGTGGCCAATGATCATATAGATCCATTTCAGCTCAATTTTGCAGCAGAATTGCCAAACCCTAATTCCTCTGCAGAGCTGGAACGACTCCCTCTTTGCTGGCCTACCATTTCAGCTACTGCAATATCAGGGGCCAAGGGGACCAAGAACCTCTTCTGCAAAAAATTTAAACTTTTTTCAGAAACTTTCAGTCAATCGGTTATCTGTTTACAGCTGTGACAGTCACTGTTTCCTTTCGGCTTCCCAGATTTAAAGCAGTCAGCATGTTTGTACCATTTTGGAGCAACAGACCCCTGAAATCCTGTATACTGCAGCCACGCTTCACCACAGCCTGCCGTGAGCCGGCATGGAGTCATGCAGGACTTCACTGGACTTGTGTCTAAAACAGCACATTGCCAAAAACAATGATTGTCAGCAAAATAATTTGGAAAACAAAGAGAATTTCCTAAAATAAAATGCTATTTATGTAATTTTCATTTACATAAAAAAATCCCCACATTTCATAAATTGGTTGCCATATCCTTTGTGGCCTGTGAGTCATCTCCTAGATCTGTGGCAGGAAGAATTCTTGTAAATCGAGTTTTTTATTACCATTCAGTCTCTCGATCTGAAGCTCCTAGAGGAAATACAACCTAAAAAAATGCCTGATAGACCAAAGGTATCATGAATATCTGGACTAATGCATGAATCAGTGCTGGGGACTGAGCTCCAGCTGTGGATATAAACCGTATGACCAGATCAAAGATAAATCATAGGACTGATATGATGAGGCTACTAGACTGAAGCACATAAGAGGGCGTTTCAGGTGGAGCCTAAAATGTAAGGCTACATCTGCAGCAGGAAATAAAATACACTTGGGACCATTGTCTGACTTGGAGGCCAACAGGCATGAAACAGCTCATGCCCATGCTATTAAACTCTCTTGATCTCCAAGACAGGTTGCCTACATCCAAGCTGGCTACTGGGATTCGTCCCTGACCCGTGGCATGTCCTGAGTAGTGCCTGGGAACTGTTCAGATGGTTGGTCTGAAATGAAACCATCCAAGAGCCACTCCAGCAACTTAGGAGTACAGAGGATTGAGATGTAGAGCCTGGGAATGTTTTTCAGTACCACAACATTTACTAGTACCAGCCATAGCTTGAGCATCCATCTGTCTCTCCCAAACACCAGCTTCACAGATGCCAGTGCAGCATCTTCCAGTGAGGCCCACAAGGCAAAATGCTTTCTGTTCTCCTCACCTAGTCCACCTTCCCTTCCCTTC